TAACACAACAGTAGTAATGAAAAAAAGACCAGACACCTTCGTCTCATTAGGCATTTTAGCAAAAATAGGCCAAAGGAAAGAGGGAGAAGACAAGGAAAGAAACTGGACTAGCAGAGGGTGTGTTGGTCATGGGTAAGGTCACAAAACATGAAAAACCCACAGATTTTAACATGCAGAGGACATTGGACATTGCAGCGTTGGTTATGGTTAAAGAGACCGTACAGCTCCTACATCTTTGTCCTTGAGGTTTCATTAAAGTAAGACTCACAACTTCAGGTCCATCAATCAAATGGAAATGACAGTAGTGCTGTAAAAACATAGGTAGAAAAATAGTGCAAAGCCAAGGGTTGGACACTCTATAATCTGTCACAAGTACCCCAAAGCACTACCATTAGTGCTCTTAAAGAAAACACACACAGAAAACATTCTTTATTTATTATAAATGGCAGTTGTCTGCATTGCACTCTGTATTTAGAAGGTACTGATTACCTTTGTGCTTCCCTTCAAAGCTCTAGACGAATAAATAGAGCCTTTCACACTGGTGAGCACTGCCTGCCCTCCAGTCAGGACTGGTAGCAAAGTCAGACAGCATTTATAAAAGAAATCAATTAAAAAGGAAAACAGACAGCATCATTAAAGGCCTTTGTCCTTGCTAGTCTGCTCAGCAGACTACACTTTCTTCTTAAAAGAACACCTACCACTTCTGTGACAGTATCCAGAGAGCAGAGTGAAACAAAAAAAAGGTCACATTTCCAGCTGCCAAGAAGGCAAAGTTCCTGGGGCTCGGCCAAACACAACAGCTCAGACACTCTTCGCAGCACTCTTCAGGTGACCTGCACTGTGTGCCTGGAGAAGGGCAGTCTGGCAGAGTGTGAGCCCAACACAACACTCAGGCTGAGAATCTCATTTAAACCTTGCAGCCCTTAAGGAGAGGGGTTTGGAATTACAACCAATTATACAGTGCAAACTCGTATCTGTTCCCACAGATATAAAATGCACAGGCAGGAGTGCAGAACAAAAGTGCCACCAGCTCCAGTTGTGAGGAGCAGCAGCCAATAAGGAAATAAACTCCAGGGAGCAGAGCCTGATCTCGGCTACTCCTGGGACAACCTGGAGTAACTCCAGCTCTTTCAGTGAACTTATACAAGTGTATCTGATACAAGGGTCTGAATCAGCGTAGCGGGTTGACCCTGGCCGGATGCCAGGTATCTGGTAAAGCCACTCTCTCACTCTCCCTCTGCAACTGGACAGAGGAAAGAAAAAAAAAACAGCTAAGAATTCATGAGTAGAGATAAGAGCTGGGAGAGGTTACTTACCGATTACCTTTATGGGCAAAACAGCCTCAAAGTGGGGATATTACTTAAATTTATTACTAATAGAATAAGAGACAAAGAGTGAAAAATAAAACAATCTTAAAAACACCTTCCCCCAACCCTCCTTCCTTTCATGTTCTGTCTCCTCCCTCCCCAGTGGTGCAGGGGGATGGGGAATAGAGGTTATGGTCAGTTGCTGTTTCTGCTGCTGCTCAGGGAGAGGAGTCCTTCCCCAGATCCCAAGGGGTCCCTCCCACGGGAGACAGTCCTTGATGGACCTCTCCAATGTTAGTCCATCCCTCGGGCAGCAGTAATTCCCAAACTGCTGTCCCGTGGGTCACTGCTCCATGGGGTGCAGTCCTTCACGAATGAGCTGCACCGGTGTGGGTCCCCCATAGGGGCCAGGAGTCCTACCCAGGAAAAAACTGCTCTAGCGTGGGCTTCCCTCTCCACGGGCTGCAGGTCTCTGGCAGGACTCTGCTCCATTTTGGGCCTCTCACAGGGTCACAGTCTCCTTCATGCATCCACCTGCTCCAGCATGGGCTTCTCCATGGGCTGCAGGTGGGTCTCTGCACCCCGATGATCCTCCATGGGCTGCAGGGGCACAGCTGCTCCACCCTGGTCTGCACCATGGGCTGCAGGGGCCACAGCTCCAGCACCTGGAGCACCTCCTGCCCCTCCTTCTGCTCTGACCTTGGTGTCTGCATTGTTGTTCCCATGTTCTCATTCTGCTCTTCCCTGACTGTAATTCTTTCTGCATCACAAGCTTCTGTTCTTAAATATGTTATCGCAGAGGCATTACTATCACTCCTACTTGGCTTGGCCTTGGCCAGCGGCAGGAAGCCCATCCTGGAGCCAGCTGGCATTGGCTCCACCGGACAGGGGAAGCTTCTAGCAGTTTCTAACAGAAGCCACCCCTGTAGTGGCCCCCGTTACCAAAACACAGCCAGGGAAACTACAATAAGTTTGGTGGTGAGGCACAAAATTAAAATGAAGAGTTTGTTAAATGACAGCCTTCCAAATTCAGTGTCACTGAAAAATATTGGTAACAAAGTTTGTTAACCTTGAGCAGGACAAAACAAATACCCACCAGTGGATGGAGCTCACATTTACACAGCATTTCCCAAGTATTCACTTCAGCAGGTCCATAAGGTTTTAAAGGAGGGCTTGGCTTAGCCTGGTCTGAGTAACTTTTAACAGGGTTCTTGCTGACACCCCATGGAAAAAAATACACTGACTGCCTAGAAAATACATGGTACATATGTACCCAGTATATCCATACCCATGAGGCCACTCTACGCTCACACAACCAAAATCCCAACACTGTGCACTGAACGGGAACTGTATCATGACCCTTCTTAAAATATTAGTTTCTTGGTGAGTTTGTAAAATCCACGTTACTGACAAAAGGCATGCCCAGAGACAGGGAAATATGCCTACTCCTCATATTTCATGGTAGATATGTTGTGTTGGAACCGGAAGAAACAGCAGCTTTCTCAAGGTAGTCTGGGCTCTCAGAAGAGAGCCCTGTCTTAGTTGGAAAGAGTTTTGTTGGTTTTTTGCTTCTGTAATTGAGATCAATAGAAAAAATCAAATTGATTTCAATGCTGAAAGAAATGCCATGGTAGCCAATTGACAGGAAACTACCAAACCCATTTTCTTAATGGTTTGTTACCTTTAACAGGACACAAGCGACCAGGTAGAAGAACCTCATCAGGCTTTTCCCTCTCCCTCTTTCACAAAATACCCACAACTTTCTGAGAAATCTGAGTGTCACCAAGAACCAACAGAAAGCACAACAGTAATGACTGGGTCTGCAAAGGCAGCGTAACATTGCCGGATCAAGTCATGTGCAGCTGATGGAAAATGGGAAAGTTCCAGCAGTCCTGGAAGGTGCCTCATATTTATGGCATGAACTAGTGAATGGTGTCCTGGTTTCCTTTTCAGGAAGCAAAAGCCCACACCATACATACTGCACAATAATCTAGATCTTTCCCACACTAGGATCTGTTAGTGATAGAATAACCTGTAAAGAATAGGCACTTATCCCAAGAATTGGCAGGAAAAAAGGAGCATTATTTGGTAGGTGTGGCACCAAAATACAACCAATGTGCTTTCTCACATACATATGCTGTACAGGTGGAGACTCAAACAGACACACAGTTTTAGGTTGTTGGTGGGCTGTGGTTTTTCTTCTTGCTCCGGCAAGATTTGCAAATGCAGCAGATGATGCATGGAGATGCCACCAGCAGCAAGGGAGAGGTCACCAGTGCTATGATACCGAGTCCAACGAGGATCCCCACAACCTGAAAGATATGGTGGTGAAAAATAGGTATTAGTGCTAATGTGGAAAATAAAGGACACGTGTGCATGCATAAGCATAGCATAGGTCACAAAAAAGACAGATGAAAAAACAACAATAATCCTCTTGGTCCTTCCCCGAAGGGTAAAATCTCTTTGCTTCATGTGTGCATGAGAGCTCTGCCCAGCTGGCTAGGAACACACCTGAGTTCTGTTCCACATCACTGAAGCCCGCGAGTGGCCAAGCTTGTTTCTGCAAGGGCCTCTGTCGTAATGGCGTAAGAAGATATCATTCTGAAAAACAGAAGGAGAAGCTCAAGACCAGACTGGAAACACAACCTTCCTGACACTGCTTTAAAATTGCCAGCTGCCAGTACACAAGTTCACCTGTCTTCTAAATAATTACCCAGACAAACTTCTTGGAGTTTCAAAAATTGGTGTATGTTTGGCACCTCAGCTGTCAGCCAGCATCTTTCCTCCCCCACTTTTAAGAAGCGTACATCTCTGAGTTGCACCTATTGCACAAGAACCTGGTCTGTAATTTAATGATAATAAAGGGGGCTGAAAACATCAGATATCTTGGAAAACTGGCAAGGTGAGGGATCATCTCCCTCAGGTGCTTTTGCTTGCTGTTCTCCTGCTGTACTTACGCTTCATAGTCATTTTCTTCCTAGACTTAACAGGAAAATTTAAAAAGTAGAAAAATCCTGTTTCCCTTCTCTTTTCTCATTAAGGCTTACTACATTACCAATTTTTTTCAGAAGCTGACTCACACCCTCCACTACCCTCCCTTAGCCAGCTGTGCTGTAAGATGATGCTGCTTCCCCTTTCGTTTTTCAGCCCTACTCTCTGCCTTTACACCTATTGCCTTCCTCTATGCCCCGAGTTCCTGTAACCCTGCACATTTAGAAAAAACACATTGGAATCCCACAACTACAATTGCTTTTCCTCTTTCTCTCTTTGAACTGACAAAAAAACTCAAAAAGGGCGTATCTGCAGAGCCTGTGACAATCTGACAGTCTTCCACTTCAGCATAGTGTTAAGCAATCACCCTGTACTGTATGTACTCTGAAGCAAGCTGGAAGACTCACATTGAAAAAGCATGCTCACCCACACGGAAATGGGACACAAGACTAAGTGAAACCTGTTTAGCATGATGAGTAAAGGAAGGATGAAGAATGAGGAAGTCTCCTTGTTTGCTGGCTGCAACAGGAGGTGCAGTACAAAAAAGAGGACATGAAAAGCCATGCGGCACATAACATTTTGTTTCAAGTGCTTGGTAAAGTCCTTTTCACACTCCCACAGTTATTAGTGATGTCTGTGCCAAAAAGGCAAACTGCCATATCCACGAGCACATTACTTCCGGGACTCTTAATTCTGCTAGGAACCTTGAAGTCCACACGAGTTCAGACTAGTTTGCAACCCTTGAGAAACCAACAGGTACTTCGCAATCCAGGCTCAGAATCTAACATTTTTAAACTCAAGCTTCCCAACCCACCAGTCTCTTCAGCAAACACAGTCCATGAGTTCTTAAGCACTCTACCATGGAACAACCCACTTCACCCAGTATCAGACCACTTTTTGGACGGGCTGTGCCCTTTGCTGTTGAAGCAGGTGGAAGACACTTATTTCCCTCACTCTCAATCAAATGGTTTTTAACTACTGGAAGAGGGAATAAGAGCAAGGTGTTGCTGGAAAGAATCTCCCGAAAGCAACCAGTCGGTCCTATTTCCCTCAAAGAACTAGCACGGGACCCACAGATGTGGCTATAACCCTTCATGGGCAAAAACAGGATACTGATACAAATAAAAGCACTGGGTGAAAGATGAGAAAGAAATTGAGTCAGAAGCTGAAGGAAGCCAAGGAATTAATGAAGAGTTTGGACAGGGCCTCACACTAAGCCCAACCCCATCACTCTTTATCCAGGTGGTTTTCCTACAGCACTTACATCCAAGTTCTGTAGACAGTACCAGCAAAACGTGTGCTTGCAGTTCTTGCACATCATCTGAGCACAGCCCTCGTTTCGCTCAATATAGATCCGACAAACTGGGCACTGCTTAATTGGTGCCTCTGTCTCTGTTCCAATAAGGGATCTAGAAGAGCAAGGAAACATCACAGTCAAATCTGAATGCAATTACTGTTGATATTCCACTGCTTAAAGTATACTGGGCTTATTTTCCAGAGCATCTCATGGTGTTGTCTTAATGCACTCAAATGTGGGAAGCTTCTTATGTTCACTACCATACACTGACATATACTCACTACTAGGTGTAAGATATCAATATCACATAAAAGTGAAACTCCGTTGCCTTGTGCTTTTATGCTACATAAAACCAACACTCACTACACCCACAAATTAACTACCTATAGCATTACGACTTAGGACTTTGTTACAGACAGCTTGCACAAGTCATTTAACAGGACTGGATTATGCAACTCAAAGCACTCTCCTTGTCTGAACAAAATCAGCTTAAACTCCACCAAAGCCATCAATCAAACCTGGAGAAGAAAAATCACGGCAAGAGCTTTTTGGTAACTCTTTATCCAGTGAAGTCTCCAGCAAGCAGAATGCTTACATTTTAAGTCTTTCCGTTCTTGCAAAAAATGATCAAAAACTTTGAACACACAACGAAACAAAATCTGATTCTGAAAATAAAGATGGAGGGCCAGAGACATGACAGAATCTAAGCACAAAAGTGCTTTCTTTCTGTAGATTAAGGAGTTATGCAAGCTTGTCAATAGGTTATTTGCACCTAAGCAAAATGAGCTAAAATCAGGTTTTTCACAGCGCATGAAATTTACACTCTGTGTAAGAGTTAAGGTTTGTCTACAGAGGGATTTTATAAATATTAAGCAGGGGCATTGTGACAAAAATAACCAAAAGAATGTATGGCCTCCACAGACTCCCCTCTTACCCCTGCTCGGTTGGGACTGGAGTAGGTTGGTTTTCCCGGCACAGGTGCTGCAGGTGCCAGGCCTCCTTGCAGGAGGAGCAGAACGTCAGGTGGCAAGCCGGGCACTCCACTGGCACCGGTGCTCTGGGCTCGCTTGGCGCAATGTGGCACACTGTTTGGCAGTCGGCCGTGGGGCACCACGTTCTCTGAGGGTCCAAGTGCACTTCTGAAAGGCAACAGAGAGAGAAACAAAACTGTTTATACAGCCTCCTTTTCATTCCAGTGACATGTGCCCAGGCATACCAGACCCAATTCTACAAGCGGGTGTGGAAGCCAAAGCGCTCCACACCCACGCCCAGGGGGATTTGAGCCTACTCTTCCTTAGGGAGGTCTGCAGTTGCACTCTGCTAAGGCAGCCGCACTAGAAGCATCACAAGAATAGAAATACACTACACAGAGCATATCTTTGCCTTTTTATAGGGAGGTCCAAAATACAAACCTAAGTGCTGCTTGCTGACAAGTACGTGCCTTTTGTAACACTAGGGGATTCTGAGTCTTTCGCAGGTACAAGCCAT